CTAGTCTTGTTGTTGAGTCTGCGTCTACGTCTGTCTGTCCTCCGTCTGTCGGGGGTGAGTGTGCTCTTGGCACGGACGTCCTTGAGGACAGACAGGAGGAGTTTGAGTGCTTTGCCGCTGCTATACCTCATCTCGTGTCCATACTGCTTGCCCCTGAGGGAGACCCGGATGCACCAGACATCCCGACCCCGCGCTCTTACGCAGAGGCGATAGAGGGTCCTTACTCCTCTCAGTGGCAGGCAGCCATGGATGCCGAGATGGCATCCTGGAAGTCCACAGGCACCTACGTCGACGAGCTTCCCCCGCCTGGGGCGAACATCGTCAGTCGCATGTGGATTTTCAGGGTGAAGCGGCCGCCGGGTTCTCCGCCTGTCTTCAAGGCGCGTTACGTTGCTAGAGGCTTCAGTAAGCGACAGGGAGTTGACTTCTTCCAGACCTTCTCCCCTACCCCGAAGATGACCACTCTTCGGGTGCTGCTGCACGTCGCCGCTCAGCGTGACTACGAGCTACACTCGCTTGACTTCAGCACAGCCTTCCTACAGGGCAGCCTGCACGAGGAGATCTGGGTGTGCCGCCCACCTGGCTTCACTGGGTCGTTTCCTGCTGGTACCCAGTGAAGCCTCCGGCGGCCAGTCTACGGTCTCCGCCAGGCACCCCGTGAGTGGCACGACACACTGAGGATGACTCTTGCTACTCTTGGTTTTGCTCCTTCCACTGCTGACCCGTCGCTGTTTCTACGCAACGACGCCACTCTGCCGCTGTTCTACGTTCTCGTGTACGTAGACGACTTGGTCTTTGCTACTGCGGACACTGAGGCACTCGCCCACGTGAAGTCGGAGCTGCAGAAGAGACACACATGCACAGACCTATGTGAGCTCACAAGCTATCTTGGCTTGCGGATCACCCGGGACAGAGCACAGTGCACCATTACCTTGACTCAGTCACACATGGTGCAGCAGGTCCTTCAGCGCTTCGGCTTCACGTACTCCTCGCCACAGTCCACTCCTCTGCCTACCGGTCACTCGCTCTCAGCTCCACCTTCGAACGAGACCGTAGAGCCGAGTGGCCCGTATCCAGAGCTTGTGGGCTGCCTCATGTACCTGATGACTTGCACACGACCTGACCTCGCGTACCCTCTCAGCCTTCTGGCTCACTACGTGTCTCCCGGTAGGCACCGAAAGGTGCACTGGGATGCTGCGAAGAGAGTGTTGCGCTACTTGTGCAGTACGTCGGGCATGGGGCTCGTGCTTGGAGGACGGGCTCGAGTTGTCCTCACTGGTCACGCAGACGCTTCCTGGGTTGACGACTTGGCTACGCAGCAGTCGTCACAGGGTTACACCTTCAGCCTTGGCTCTGGTTCTGTCTCTTGGCGGTCTACCCGCTCGTCTTCTGTTCTCAGCTCTAGTTGTGAGGCTGAGATCTACGCTGGGGCCATGGCTGCACAGGAGTTACGCTGGCTCACCTACCTGCTGACTGACTTGGGTGAGGCGCCTCGTTCTCCTCCAGTTCTGTACGTCGACAACAAGGCCATGCTTGTCTTGTGTCAGGAGCACAGACTGGAGCACAGAACGAAGCACATTGCTCTGCGCTACTTCCTTGCTCGAGAGTTGCAGAAGCGTGGTCAGCTTCGTCTTGCTTACGTGGCCACTCAGTCCAACACTGCTGATATCTTTAACAAGGCACTTCAGCCTTGTGATCATCAGCGCTTTCGTACTATGCTAGGTCTTGTGCCTACTTGGCCTCACTTGCTCACTTCTTGACTCTGCTTGTACTGTGATCTCTATACATATCCCTGCATGCTTACACTTGCTAGGTTGTGTGGCCATTTGCTTGTGCTCAGAATGCGTGGTGACGTCGTGATCCACCCTGAGCTTGCTTTGCCTTTCTTGACTGGTCTTGTGACCTCTTGTTCTTCCCCACTATGCCTATGGGGGTGTGTCAAACTTATATGCTATAGTCTATCTAGGCTGTAGTGGGGTAGTTCATATAGGGTACAACAATTTTAGGTTTCCTACTTGTACTCACCTCCTTGCTTATTCAGTCATTCATTCCTTCACTATTCTGACATGTTGCTTGGTAAAGCCGCTTCAAATGTTGCCATGCTTACTCCGCTGAATTCGCAAACTCCCTACATAATCTGATGCCTTTCTGTTCAGTAGGTGTCAGGTTACGAAGTCGAATCGTAAACGCCATCATCAACTGAAAGCCGAAATCGCGCTGTTCATCTGGTGTGCCGTTGACCGGGAATTGAATTTCCCAGTGAAGTATTCCCAAATCTGTGCCGCTTCCATCATGAGCTCGAACTCAAAACTCTAGGCGAAGAAATCCTTTCAGTCAAAGGGTCGTGAAGTCTGAAATTTTATGAGGCTTAACATCTGCGTTTGGTCATGTGCTGCGTCTCACTCTGATTCCATCTCGATCATGTTGCTGTTGTTGTTGCGCAGGTGCAGCTCGAGGTACAAACACGTAGGAAGCTCGCGACTGATGTTGAGGCGGAGCACGGTAAGAAATCGGTTGTTGTCGGTTATATGATGTACCGTCAACACTTATTGGTGTTGTTCCCATGTTCACTGTCGATGATGATCGTGGTGCTTGTTGTTCTTGTGCTGATGCCATGAATGCTGACATGGCTTACAAAATTGTTGGAGGCCTGCTGCACCATCGTCTGTAGCGGAACCATCTCCTGTTGCAGCGTTAAACGCGAAGGGCTGGGATGATCCTCCAGCGCCTCCTGGTCTGGTTGCAGATGCAGCTGTTGGAGCAGGGCTGGCAAAGGACACTCCTGAAAAGCCAGAGCCAGTGCGGTTTATCGTTGTTGCTTTCCGTCATGATTGTAAATTTTCCCTAATAATAAAGACTTCAGTGACTGAGAATTCGTAGAAACTAAGAGTTCATAAACTCTCCTGGTCTCATACCATGTTAAACTGAAAGATGCCTTAGGATCTTTTAGAGATTAGTCTTTGTAAAGTATTACAGCGGAAGAATTGATAATAAAGAAAAGATTCAAGAGATTTATGGTCTAGGAAGTGCCTATTCGGAGGCTAGATATTGAGTCAGCTCTACGAAGGGGTATAATCCTGTGTCACGCGAACATTCGCGAGACTATTCGCACTATTTCCTGTAACTCACGCGAAGGGACACCTGCTACAGTAACATGCACTCATATAGCAATACTACTTCACTACTATAGTTTTATATCATCAAACTACTGAATTGCTTAAGTCATATTTCTTCGTCCATTAGACTGTAGACCGTGCTGCTTCCCTGCTACACTCCCAGAGAGCTTCCGTGGCTCCTTGCATTGTGGCGCATGGCTCCATTGGAATGAGGGTCAAGAGACTCCAGCTCAGATGCCCATGCCCATGCAATCATGTCACCTAAATCACTGAAGGGAGGAAGGCAGGGAAAGGGGAAGGCGCATTGGAGGGACAATGAGACATAAGGGCCCAATGGCCCCCATGCACCGAGGGACGAGCGAAGAGGATGAGGTGAGGTGAGGTGAGGTGAAGTGAGGAGAGGTGTGGTGGTGAGCAGGCCTTACGATATCAGGAATTGTTCCCTCAAATTTCTGATTTTCAGCCTACTTTTGTGTACCCACACTGATTTTTCAGTGTATAGATTTTTGTGATACTGATTTTTCAGCCTTCATTTCATAGTTAACACTGATTTTTCAGCCTTTTACCGAAGCGTACACTGAATGCATATTCCTAAACTTTTCTGAAAAACGCCTGAAATGACAATTATTTTAGCGAATGTAATTCCTTCACAGCTAGGATTGTCTCAAAAGCAGACCTTACCCTTCGAGGCCGTAGGATGTCATGTTACGTGGAGATATTAAAGATATCATGTGGGTGAAAATTAGATTATTTTCTTTAAGAACCCTGAAAAATCAGGCTTTTTTTTTTTTAGGAACACTGGAAATCAGCCTTTTTTTCACAGGGACCCTGATGCATCAATGTCCCTAAAAGTGAATCTGAGGGCATGGCGGTGAGGTGAGGTGAGGTGAGGTGAGGTGCCTTCCTCCTCTCCTCACAAGCCTGACACTTAGCGAATCTAGTTCCACTTCGTGAATCTAGTTCCACTTCGTGAATCTAGTTCCACTTCCTTCTTCCCTCACCTGCCAGCGAGGATGGACTGGTCGCCGAGAGACTGGGAGCACTGAGAGTACAGGACTGGGCGCTTACAAACACGAGATCTAGTTCTACTTCACCCTTCCCTCATTTCACCCTTCACCCACCTGACAGCGAGGATGGACTGGTCGCCGAGAGGCTGGCAACACATGAGGTCACCACCTGGATAGTGTTAAGACGTCACCTGGAGCAGTAATGGAGAGGTACTTTCCCGTCGGCATGCGGATAGGTTTGTTGGCCGTTGGTACATGCTACAACAGCCTGCACTGCCACAAGATATATTAAATGAACTCTATGCTTGAGTAACTTGAACAGAAACACTCTTCAGTGAAGGGGAGAATGACTGCAACATTCAACTCAATTTAACATTCCTCAGCAAAAAACCCTTCTAAGCATGGTATGCAGAGAACAGGGCAATAGCCATGGATACGAACGTACATTGAAGTAGCCCCACCTCCCCATCTAAACCTGTCTGTGCCAAGATCCAACCCATCATCACCCCACATTTCGGCAGTCATTCATCTTTCTCCTTGCCCCACCGTCACTCTTCCCATGAACTTGCTCTTGGCTGTGTATCACGAGAGGACAGCATTCGATCCAGAGGCTGCTCCAAGTACGATTGTTTTTGTGAAAGGAGGGTCGAAAGAGGCTGTATGGCTGTGCTGTGTAGCCATGCCACCGATGCAGATGAGTGGCCTGGGTGCCTGTATCACAGGGAGGTAGCAGCACACAAGTGCCAAAGGGCGGCAGATGTGAGCATAGACAAAAGAGACAAACCAGCTGTAGTGACGGAGCAGACTGAAACCACTTCAACACAGTAAGAATACACCCTAGCAGCAGAAGCATTAATAAAAAGGGTTGTAAAAAAGGCTACATCTTGTGCTTCATCACATACGCATGGTTCAGTACAGCCAAGGCAGCCTCGAGCTCCTCCGCAGCATCGGTTGCCGCGTCCAGCAACTGCTCATCCCTCTCGATCTGCTCCTCCAATGAAGGGACATGCACTGTGCTGAGGCGAGCCTTCACGGCTAGCACAGCGCAGTGCACAAGGGCAAGAAATGCCGATGCTTTCACCTGCCCCAAGAGAGGGCGCAGGGCAACGGGGCATGGAGGTGCGCAGGGAAGTGGCAGAGGAGGGAGGGGGGAACAATAAGAGGGAAAAGGTGAGCGCGGGGTGTGGAGGAGGAAAGAGAAAGGGAAGACATACAAGCGGCGAGGACGGAAGGAGAGAGAGAAAGAGACCCTTGTATGCATGTGGACCAATGCATAGGGCTATGCGAGAGGAAAGGGGGGAGGGAAAGAGGGACCTCTGGTTGCACTCCTGAACAGAAAGATTCAGATACTAAAAAGAACCAGAAATGTTGATGTGGCACTGACTGACCTCAAGGGGGGAGGCGTGGTCCAAATACTCCTTAATGTAGAACTCCCTCACAGCCTTGCTGCGCGCCTGCAGTAACACACTGAGGCCCCTCTTGGCCTCCCTGCGACTCCTCTCCAGTGGTGGCAATTCCTGCTGAAGTCGTTCCCTAGCCTGTCAAGAAGGGGAGGGGGGAGAATGCTATGAGAGAAAGCGTGGCATGATCTTTCAATTCAAACACACAGCTTTGAGAGGAGAAATATGCTTAAATAGGACCATGGAGCTTGTGTAATTGAAACGCTGGAAGCACAAGAGGCAACAAAGTGCAATTGTCTTATGAGCAGGTTAGTGAGGGAAGTGAACGCTGTGAATCGCATTCTATCCACATCTGCAGAATGAACAATATGGCCTATCGTGTCCGACCGCCCCACCTGCAGCACATCGGCACCCCACATTCCTGGGCATCTACATCACAACCACCTCACCCAACAGCACATCCACACCCCCCCTTCCCTTTCCCACGGTCCTTCCTTTCGCTCTCTGGTGTGCCTACCTCTGAAAGGAGCTGCCTTAAGGTTGCAGTAACACGAACAGCAATCTTCACTCCGTCCACCTCCTCTCGCTCATCTCCCTCCCCCTTGTCCCCAGACCCTCTCTTATACCCTCCCTCCTCCCCCAAAACAGCATCAACACTCTCAATTCCCTCTTCCCCATCCATCCTCTCCAAATCAAGATTCTCCTCCTCCACCTCCTCCTCCTGCTCCTCCTGGCCCTGCTCCTCAAACAACCCCTCAGCTCCGCCCCACTCCTCAGATCTCCCTCCCCTGACACCCTCCCTTTCCTCCTCCCACTCTTCCTCTCTCCCCTCCCAACCCTCCGCCTCCCAGTCAGCAATCACACCTCCAACAACGTGTCCTGCTGGCTCACGTCCTGTCAGGTCCACAAGAGAGAAGAAGCTGCACTCCGAAAGACAAGTGTCAGCACCAGGCACCCACTCCTCACCAACATCCACTTGAGGCGAATGGGGCTCATTTGCAGCACCCCACGAGAGAGAAGACGTGGCACTCTGAACCTGGCTCGTCTCCACATTGAACCTTCTCAGCTTTGCATGCCATCGGCGCCGATGGATGAAGGGGGAGCCTTTTCTCTGGAGCACAATCCACGGGTCACCCAGCTTGAACATGGCCCACGAAAAGCGGTCGTGTAATGCATTGGGGTTGAGCCGATTCCCGCCCAAAACGGCCGCGAATTCAGTATGGATGAGGTGTGGAAGCTGATGCAGCATCAACCCGTTGCAGTGCCAAAGGTCACGGAGGAAGGTGGCCGTGCTGTTGTGGAAAGCCGGGACATTGGCCGATGAAGCAATGAGGAGGGTGAGGAGACGGAGAAAGAGTGCAGGAGCCTCAGAGCTGGCCCACCACTGCTGCTGAAGAAGGGACTTGATAAGCCCGTGCAGACAACTCAGCTGGGCTTTAAGCTGATGGTCGTGGCCTGGAGGGATTTTGCACGGTGGTGACTGGAGCAGGAGGGTGCAGAGAGCAGAGGCGCGGTGGTTATCCAGGTGGAGTGCCGCAAGGGAGGTAGGAATGATGAAGTTTCGGAGCTTTGTGATGGCTGCAGCTAGGTAAGTCACTTCCCTTTCAAGCACGTACACAGCAGCAGTGAGAGGGATGGGGGCCTCGCCGCTTGGTTGGCCCAGGTTGCGGCTCTGCAGCAGAGTGGAAGAAGCAAAGTGGATAGAAGTACCCACGTAGGTGGAGAGGCAAGGAAAGTACAAATGACAAATCAGAGACCAAAAGCCAAGGAAAAAAATAGAAAGAGACAAGCAAGGCAATACGTGTCAAGCAGCAGCAGCAGCAGCAGCAGCACAAGAGACAACAACAGCAGTGAACACACACTCACAGTGAGCGCCTGCAGGAGAGCAGCCGCCCACTCAGTGCTGGCGAGAGTGACAGCAGCGCCATGGCTGTGCCGCTGCTCAAGGAACGATTGAACAGCATCTTCATGCACCACCGCTCTCAGCACCGCAGCGTACACATGAGGCCGGCTGGACTGCCTCTGCAGCAGCTCCCGGCCGTACCTGTGGACCCATCGGGAGCCCAACAGCGGCAGCACTAGCAGCAAGTCCCCCAAGAGAGCCAAAAGCACAGGCTCCTGCATGTCAGACCCCAATCCATTTGAACCCCACAGGACCCCTTCCTTGTCCCGCGTGACCGCTTCCTGGCGTGTGGCTCCACCCACCCATTCAGCAAGCAGCCGGAGAGCCCAGAAGTGCAGCACGAAGCCAGTGCTCTCCTGAGCTCGCACCTCCGCTGTCAGCAATGCGACGTCACGGGGAAGGGGCGCGCCCACCGGCATCACATGCTGCAGCAGGCGCCGAGCCAGGCTGTCCTGCAGCCGCTCCAACATGCTTGCAGCGCCATCCAGCTCTTGTGCAACGCGGTCAGCAGCACTGGAGATGTGAGTTTTTAAGTGAGTGTGGGGCCGTTGACAACTCTTCCTACGGCCATTGCAGCACTGCAGGGCTCGTTCCAGCATCCCAAGGCACTGCACGAGCCACTCGCACTGCAGACGCAGTACCAACGCTCGAGATATCCCTTCCCGACTGCAGCCCCCCTGCTGCTGCTGCTGCTGCTGAGATTTCTGCACCTTGCATCCTCCCTGGGTCACCCGACCTGTTAGCTGTCCCACTCCTTGCAGCAGCAGTTCATTCCCATGCCCCATCAGCTGCAACACCATGCTTGTCTGGCACAAGGCTAAATCCAAGGCCTGCAGGCAGCCTTGCACCATCGTTGCTACCTGCCTGGCCCAGAATATGGCACCTGCCTCAGCTGCAGCCTCCCTCGCTACCTCCCCACGAGTGCCCTGATTGGGCAGGCGGGTCACAGCAGCACGCACGGGCAGAAGCCAGACGGCACTGGACAGACCCACCAGGATGGAGTGTGACGGCGAATCCAAGGCAGGAGGTGCAGTATGAGCTGCAGTAGACACACCCTCTGCTGTACTGGAGGCAGTGGGGGGTGTGGCGGCAAGAAAATGGAAGGCTGCATTCAGCCAGGGCTGATCTGCCGGCACCTCCCTCCTCCTGCGCAGCCGTTGCAACGCCGCCACCATTTGCACAACCCTCTCACTCCACTCACCCCACCAGCGCTGCACCTCCCCCACCAGCACCCCCAGCTGCTGGAGCAGGCCTGGCCAGGATTCATCCGTCGCCTCCTCGCTCCTCCTCTCACCTCGCTGCACCTGCTGTATCCCCTGTGGTCTGCCTCCTCCGATACACCAATCTCCTGGGCTGGCTTGCACTGCCTGTCGATGGCGCTGCGTTGGGAGCCAGCTAGGGAGACGCTCCCTGTTCGGCAGTGGGGAAGTGGTGCTTGTGAGGGAAGAGGCAGAGGAAAGGGAGGAGAAGGTGTGCAAAAGAAAGGTGTTGAATTTCTCCAGGCTCAGCTCCAGAGCCTTCCAGCTGCACAGCACTTCAGCGGCAATGCTTCGCCCCCCTCCCCAACCCGTCAGCCGGCACCACAATGTTTTTATGTCCCCAATGTCATCCCTTCGCTGAATCCTCTTGCTCAGCAGCAATAAGGTCAGAGCCTCCAACCCCTGCTCTGCGTCCACCTCGCTCTCCCATTCCCCTGCTCCTTCCCCCTGCACTGCACTCCCCACTTGCTCACTCCGAGCCAAACACCCCGCTTCCTTCCCAAATCCTCTCCTCCCTTCCCTTACTCCATATGCTGCTACCGAACCTGTACCCCTGCACACCGATGCCTCCTCCTGTGTCAGCCAGATGGCAGCGGCCAGCTCCAATGCATTCCTGCTCCTTCCCTTGCTGCTCTTCTGACCTTCTTTTTCAACTCCTTCAACCCTCGCTGCTGCTCCCTTACTAATCCATTTCCTCACTTCTGACTTCCAGCTCCAACCATTCCCACCTGTGTTCACCCTTGCGCATTCACCCACATCCTCATCCTCCTCCTCCTCTTCCTCATCCTCATCTTCCTCCCTCCTCGCGCTGCTGCTGCTGCTGCTATTCAGGGGCCACCCGTTGTTCCCATTCGCCCACATGCTGGCAACACGGGCAGCTTCCATTGCACACTCAAACGCCCTGCCCCACATCTTCTGCTGAACAAACATTTCAGCTGCCCCCAACATATCGCCCTTCTTCAGTCTCGCTGCGGCTGCCCGCTCAAAGTTTCCCTCAGCCACCTCGACTTGCAACAGCTCTTCAAACAAGTCTCTTCTCTCCAAGAACCGCCGCTTCTCTGCTGCGGCAGGGAACTGGAGAACGTACTTCATCATCTTGCCCCTCTCCTTCTTCCGATAGAAGAATTTTGCAGCGTCGAGGAGGAAAGCAGAACTCAGCCTTGTGACCAGCTCCTGCCGCATCTTCCAATCATCCCCTTTCATGGGAGCACTCACAGGACTGTCCTCCCTTGCAAATTTTAGAATGCTGCTCAGCCCGTCTGCAATCTGCTTCTGCCAGGAATGAATGAGCGAGAGGCCTAGGTTGTAGAGCCTGGCTTGTGAGCACGCAGCTAGTGCCCGTTCCACTAGCCACGCCTGGGCCAGACACTCGGCAGCATCTGAGGCCTTTCCGGCCTGCAGGTAGCACGCTGCGGCCCTCTCCAACTGTGGCGGCTTGCACATTTTGCGGTAGATGGCAGCTGCTTTTACAGAAAAGAGAAAGCGGAAGGAAAAGGGAAAACATAAGGGAAAGGGCAAGCCCATAAATGGCCGTTTTGGTGATTATAGTCCTTAGTGTAATTGGGGATTCACAGCAGATGAGACGACGGAGAAGATGAGGGAAAGGGAAAGGAGGTGAAAGAAAAAATTAAGGGAAAGGGAATGGGAAAGGGAAGGGGAAGGAGAAGGAAAGGAGAAGGGACAGAGAGGGAAAGGAGAAGGGAAGGAGGAGGGAAGGAGAAGGGAAGGAACAGGGAAGGAGAAGGGAAGCAGCAGGGTAAGAAAGGGGAAGGAGGAGGGAAGGAGGAGGGAACGAGAAGGGAAGGAGAAGGGAAGGAGAAGGGAAGGACAAGAGAATGAACAGCGAAAGAACAGGGAAGGAGGAAGGGAAGGGGGAAGGGAAGGGGGAAGGGAAGGGGGAAGGGAAGGGGGAAGGGAAGGGGGAAGGGAAGGGGGAAGGGAAGGGGGAAGGGAAGGGGGAAGGGAAGGGGGAAGGGAAGGGGGAAGGGAAGGGGGAAGGGAAGGGGGAAGGGAAGGGGGAAGGGAAGGGGGAAGGGAAGGGGGAAGGGAAGGGGAAGGGAAGGGGGAAGGGAAGGGGGAAGGGAAGGGGGAAGGGAAGGGGGAAGGGAAGGGGGAAGGGAAGGGGGAAGGGAAGGGGGAAGGGAAGGGGGAAGGGAAGGGGGAAGGGAAGGGGGAAGGGAAGGGAAGGGAAGGGAAGGGGGAAGGGAAGGGGAAGGGAAGGGGGAAGGGAAGGGGGAAGGGAAGGGGGAAGGGAAGGGGGAAGGGAAGGGGGAAGGGAAGGGGGAAGGGAAGGGGGAAGGGAAGGGGGAAGGGAAGGGGGAAGGGAAGGGGGAAGGGAAGGGGGAAGGGAAGGGGGAAGGGAAGGGGGAAGGGAAGGGGGAAGGGAAGGGGGAAGGGAAGGGGGAAGGGAAGGGGGAAGGGAAGGGGGCAGAAAAGTCCACCCCGCGGGCGATGGTCTGGGCAGTGTCACCGGCAAAGAAGAACCCAGTGGCGACATTGGAGCAGAGGAATTGCAGGATGGCGATTTGTGCCTGCGTCAGGTCCTGCACCTCGTCCACATACACGTACTGGAATGGTGGCCCTGCGACGACTTTCCCGCCAGCACCCACAGCCCTGCTTGTCCCGATCGCAGCTGAAGAAACGCCAGCCTTGCTGCCATACGGAGGAGGAGTGCTGGTGCTACCACAGGCAGTGCCTGCTGCAGCAGTCGCAGCAGCAGTAGCGGGGGTCCAGAGCCGTGTAGCCCCTTTCTCCAGCTGCTTGTAAACATGGAAGACGTAGTCGCACATGTCGTGGTCCCCTCTCTGCCGCTTCAGCTTCTCGTACTGCATGAAGAGCGCGTAAATGGCCGTGCGCTGCTCCTCGTTCAGGCTCGACGTGCGCGTGCGCGCCAGCAGCACGTAGTCCTGCAGAGACACACGGCCGTGCGGTGACCTGAGCGCGTGCAGGGAGCCCTTGATGTGGGAGAACATCTCCTTGAACACCGCGGACGCGTCGAGATGACGAGTGGTTGCCGCGTTGAGCCGCGGCCAGTAGACTACCTCAAACCGCTCGTAGTCAACCTCTTCTGGAACCCATGCAGCAGCAGTGCCGCTGCTGCTCCTGCTTTTGACGCTGCCACGAGTTCTGCTAACAATGCTGCTGCTGGGGGCTATTCCAGTGGTGCTGGTTCTAGTGCTGCAGCCGATGCATTGCAGCCTGCCCCCTCGCCACCTGTGTGCGCTAAACAGCCCCCCCTCATCCTCTTCATCATCATCATCCTCACTATAGTCGTCCTCATCGTTCTCCTCACCCCACACTGCATTCACGCCACCAGGCAAGCCGTCACCACTCCAGCGACCTCCCACGGACCCTCCTCGGCCCCATCCACTGCCCGTGCTGCTCCCTCCCGTCTGGAACGGGTGTGACAGTGTGGCATTCACCATGCTGAGAAGCTTCTTGAAGGTGAGTACAAGAGGGAAGGCAGCTGGCGGCACTGAATCCAGAGATTCTGGTAGGTCGCCCAGAAGTTTCTCCTCTGCTTCCTCCAACAACAGCAGCTCCTCCTGCTCCTCCTCCCCTGCCGGTGCCAACTGTCCTTCTCCCTCCCCTCTCCCCGCGTGTCCATTTGGCAAGCAGGGGCCGCCATGCTCCTCCGCTTGCAGCATAGTCCTGCCAGAGAGGAGAAAGACAGCACAATTAAAGGAGACAAGCGGGAGGAAAATGGGGAACGAAGCTCTGAATGGAGGAGAGGAAATGGAACGAATGTCACAGAAACTATTGGTAAGAACAATATAGACAAATTACGTGCTTGTTTGGTGTAGACAAATTGATGTCAGGCACTGTAGAGGGAATTATTAGATGTACTGTAGCGAAGGGGGTTTGGGTTCAAGGGAGTGACGCGAAGCTGGGGGACTCAGGGACCAGCGAGGCACAAGGAACAAGAGCCCAAGGAACATTGGGTCCTGAGCAATCTGGATGACCAATCCTGAAGTTCAGGGACTGAAACTCAAGGTAGTCTTCTGGAAATTGGGTGACACGGGGTAGGAATTCAAATATTCTAGGAATGCACAACACAACTCGTTCTGTCGTTTGTTTGCTCTTGATAGTGGATCCACGTTGCCGATCTACAGCTGATTCCGGCTTAGGTGACGACCAGGCCACTAAGGGCAGCCATCGTGTGGGAGGCTGAAACTCTCCCAGGCCACTCAGTGGCTGAGTACGAAGAAGGGAACCAGGGAGCAGGGACAAGATGGAAGCAAGGATGAGAAAGAGAAAGCAGCAGGAGTGAAAGGACAGGGGCAGGTAACACAGGAGTTTCGGACACGAATTGATTGGCTGGCGAATTCAAAGAAGCTTCACGACAGAGCACATGTTGCCAGGCCCCACACACCTCGTGGCCTTGTTCACATAGCGCTTGATGGCAGCACACAGGCGCGCATTCGGAGTCACAACCACCTGCCGCAGTCTACTCCTTTCCTCCTCTCCCTCCCCCCCACTCTTCCCTTCACCCTCCTCTTCCTCACTCTCCTCAAGCTCCTCATATGTCCCCCAGCCGTCCTTCTCTCTGCCATTTGAGGCGCCACTGCATCCAGTGCGCACATTTGGAGCTTTTTCAAAAGTCAGAAGGCGCCTCTCGTTCATGGCGCGGCGGAACGTGTGCTCCAGCAGTAGCAGGCGGTGGGTGATCACTGTCGTCTTGCCCGTGCCTGGGCCAGCCACACAAAAAAAGGGGATGACAGACGCAGAGGAAGAGCATGCCGTTTCGGACTGAAGTCTATTGAGCTGACTCAAGCGGAGGGGCTACCGGAAGCGGAGGGGAGTGGAAGAGGTTCGGTTAGCGATTGAAAAATGGATAAAGGTTTGTGAGGCATAGGAAGGGCAGGCAGAGTGCTGCAAGCAAGCAACTGACTGACTGACTGACTGAGCACAACAGGTCGCGACTGCTCAGCCACACCCCTGCTGAGTAACAAGAATAAACATGCCCACCTGATCGGCCAAGCACAAAAGCAGTGCAGTTGGAGTGGACTATCTCAGATTGCTGCTCGTTCAGCTTGAACAGCCACTCCCCCGGAACTGCTGCCATCAGGTGCTGGGCGGAGCCTAGCGAAAGCGGATAGAATTTCATCAGCAGCACAATGTCATCCACTGGCGCTCGCTCCAGTCTGCCAGCTGATTCTGGGTGTGAGGCTGACAAACGTGTATGGGAAAGAGTGAAAATGGATGGAATGGAGAAAGTCTGAGATGAGGGAAGGGTAGATTAAAATATCAGGAAAGAAATAGTCGCCAGTGGAGAAGTTTGAGACGAAGGCTGTCGGTGGAGCTTGCTCCCTTCCATCATTCACACCAGACTTTCCAGAAGCATACGGTACCAAGTGAGGTCACATTATACCAACGACTCGGATTAAAGTAAAAATGCAGCACCTGGCACACGGTGGATCCGTTGGCCCCTCCACCACTCGAAGGGAGCATGGCGGTTGAACTGGCGGGGGTGCACCCTGCGAGCGGAGCCGGGTGGACTTGCAGCGCAGCAGTCGAGGCGCTGGTCTGAGAACGATTCCAGGCCTTTCGCCAGACGGTGCAGCCACGGCAGCACCCCACGCTCTGGCACCACGTCCCACACCTTGATCATCTATGAGTGAGGAGGGCAGGGGCATGGGAGTGGGGGGGGGATGGATGGAGAAACGAGACATGAGGGAAGTGAATTTGGGATGTGAGCAATGAGAAAATGGTAGTGCTGCACCATGCAACAGACAAAGCTCCGCCACCAGTGGAGTAGCACAGGCATCTAAAATTCTCAGTAAGTTTGCAGAACTCGTTTCTGTGAAAGCTCCAGAAGCAGTATCAAGCAACTGACTGACCGAGCATACCGTTTCTATGAAAGAGGAGGAAGAAGCACCATACAGGGAAATGGCTACGGAGAGAACACGTTTCCTTATGAGGAAAGAACAGCACACGCGACGACAGACAGGTTAAACCAGCATATCCCAGGGTCCATAACTCTTGCACTGAAGCCAGAACAAACCCGTGTTCTAAACCCCACATGAACCCTTGCGGCCTGGATAGGAGGGAAGTCCTCACTTGCTGGTAAGACTCTGGGGAGATGTCAACGGTCCAGATGAGAAAGGCGCGCCCCACAGGCTGCACGCGAATGATGTCGTGATAGCGCGGGTCGCTGAGCTCGTGCCGCGGCCGCGTGTCCCACTGCGGGCGGTGGCCCTGCATGAGGTGCCGCACTGCATTGATTACCTCCAGCGACGGCGCCTGCCGCATGCTGCGCTGAAACTCCTGGCTGAATGCTGCCTGCAGTGCGGCAGGCAGCAGGCGCAGCGCAGAGGCACGGCGCAGGGAGAAGAGAAGGGAAGGAGGAAAGAGAGTGCACGCTGAAGCAGCACGAGTTGAATCTGCACCCACTACTGGACCGCGATCTGTCATCAACTGCAAGTTTCCACGGGACATAAGTCAACGGCCACAGAGAACCATAGCCTGCTGTGGTTGCAGCAACGAACTATCCCGATGTGATAAAACCGAACGAAAATTGTGGTTGCCTGAACTCCCCTGGTTGTGCATGTGTATTCCGCACATCCACAGCCGCTTTCCTCAAGCCCCACTGTGCTCACCCGCTTATCCCCCTCCCATGCCTCACCTCCCAGTGCAAGCCGGCCCAGAGCCCCGAGTGGGGCTTCAGCAGCTGCTGCGTTTCCCCCACCTGCACCCACCGCCTCTCCACAGCCCTTGCCAGCCCTTCATCGCTCCCAGCCTCCACCAGGCACCCACGCCTCTCCGCATCCTGCAGCAGCTGCGCCCACATGCTGTCTCCTCTTCGCAGCGTGTGTGTGTCGCCCACCACCCAGAGAGTGTGGCGCGCACGGGTGATGGCCACGTTTAGACTGGCTCGCCCGGGGTTGTGGCGGGGAGGAAGGAGGTGGTGTTAGGGACAAGGGGAGGAGCAAGAGCAAGGGTGGACGAAACGGGAACCGTGCATCAAGATTGCAAAAAGGAAAAGGATAGATATGGGTGGGAACCTGAATCCTACCATCTGTCAGTGAAAACTCATCAAAGACAAGGCATAAAAGAAAAGAAGGTGCCAGTAGCACTGGAGCGAATACCGCCGACAACAATGACCGACAACAGCGAAAACAGCACCGTGAGAGAGAGAGCCTAACCTACCGCCTGGGATCTGCGACAAATCCGATGGTGCTCGAACTGTTGGAGCGAACAGTGCTGATGACAATGACGTCACACTCCCTGCCCTGGAACCCGTCGACTGTGTTAACTTCCACAGTCAGGGAGGGCCACGGCTTGGCCTCCACTGCGCGCTGCAACAGCTCCACCTGGCGGGCATATGGCGAGATGAGCCCAACCTTCACAGCCCCGCCCTCCTTGCCTCCGCATGCTGCACATTGGGAGCGGGACACCGATGCCCATGAGCCATGAGCCATGTGCCATGAGCCATGTGCCATGCAGGGTGGTGGACATGGGAGTAATGCCGGCTGGACTGAGAGATGAGACTTCTGAGATGCTTCGTAGCTGCATGAGCGAAGAATCGAGACTAGGATCCGAAAGGAACAGCAGGCAGTGGGGGCAAAGCAAATCGGACCAAGCGGTTTAACAAAGACGGCGGATAGCAAAGGAAGAGCGCACCATTGGAGAGGCGCATGAGCAGCGCGATCACGACAGCAGCTTCAACCGAATTGGCAACGCTGTGGCTGCCTGCATCCACAGCCACAGAGTCCCTCTCCTCACGCCCCCTCACATGGAAGAACCTGTACGGGCCAAACAGCAGATGCAGGTGCGGAGGGCAGTGCGAGGGCTGGCACACGTTGGGGCCGTCCTCGATGCGGCCGTGGTAGAAGCAGTGCGAGGGGAAGCGGCTGATGTCCGGGTGCATGCGGTACTGCACGCTCAGCAGCTCTGCATGCCACCCGGTGCTCTGCAGGCGCTCAAACAGGCTGCGGTTATAGTGGCCTTGCACTGCCACCTGCGGGTGCGGAAGGAAGGAGCAGAAACGGCGAGGGCGGGCAAGTGATGGGGATACGGATTGGAGTTGCGGGTGTGATGTCGGAATTCTATAATAGGTGGGACCAGTGGTCATACTGGTCAAGCTCATGCCCTAGACACATGCACACACACACCCACATACACCGGCGTGACTGTCTGGTCCAGCAGCCTCGCCTCCAGGCCACTAATCCCCGTATGCTACTGCCAACACAACACCACCATGCAACACTGTCACTGACATCCCTCTGGAATCCGGGCGCACTGACCTTGCTCATGACGGTAGCAGGCAGCTGCTTGGGGTCCCCCACCAGCACGGCATAGCGCAGCCCGCGCGCTTGCAGGGCCACAAGGGACTCCGCCTCCACCAGCTGAGCCGCCTCGTCCAGCAGCAGCAGTGGGAAGTGGCCCGAGCAGCGGATGAGAGCGCGGGCAGAGGAGGAGACGGTGGAGAGGACGAGGCGTGCGCCTGCCACGCACTGAGCGGCCACGGTGGCAGCTGATGGGTTGCTGCTGAGGGTGGGGATGTGGAAGGCGGGGCTCTGCTTGCCGATGTGCTTCAGGTGGCGGCGGATGGAGTGGAAGAGACACTCGGCTTGCGGGAGAGAGATGCCCGCATCCCTGGTTGAGCTGCTGGCGACAGTGGAGTCGTTGCTTATGGCAGAAGACTGGCTGGTGCTAGCAGTGGCATTGGCAGCAACTTGATTGTTGATGGGTCCCCTTGCTCCCAACCTAAGCATCCTACCAGCCCAGCTGGAAGTCTTCCTGATTTCGCCACACCTGTTAACATCCTCAAAAGGTGCAAGAAGCCGAGCAGCCTCCTGTAGAACAGAGGATATGCTGAACTCGAAGCCATCCTCCTCCTGTGTATGTGACCCATCAAGCCAGCTTAGCACAGCATCCGATGAGAGCCCTGGGCAAAGCAGGAGTTGTCGCAAGGCTGCCATCAGCTCACCCGCCTGCAGCAGCTGCACACGCTCGCGCTCTGGCAAAAGGGCGGAGGGCAGATCGTAAGCCAGGCTCACAGCGCCCTCCATAGCTGGTTCAACGAGCTGAAGCACACGCTCCTGAAAGAACTCAAGCAGGTTCGGAAGGCCTTCTGTCCCTTTATTGCTTACCATCTTGCTCTTTTTCCAGCCAGGTTCCTCTTTGATCCTTATCTCCAACACCTTTAAGTGCGCCTGGTGGACCCGACTCATTTCCTCCTTGGAGGTTTCAAGAAAGCTCATCAGCATGAGCACAGACGATCTCCAGCCTGACTGCAAAGACAAAGCTCCTAGCAGCCGCGTTACCCGTCCACAGCACACACCCCCCTTCCGCTTCAGAAACGCCCCAGGCTCCCTCCTCCTCCCTTCCCCTAGGAGAATAGAATCCAGCTCTGGGTCTACCACCAGCCTTCCTTCATTCGCCACCAGGACGATATCTCCAACGTGCAGCCGCCCTCCAGCCAAGAAGGCCTTCTCAAACTGAAACGGCCATCCGTCTGAAAGCCGCTGCTGCTGCTGCTGTGACTGGTAGTAGCCTGGGAAGTGGGAGGACGGGTCGGGCGAAAGAGCGAGGCGCAACATTCGCCTGGCGACTTCAGCTGCGGCCACGTTGGTGGGCGCACAGACGAGAGTGCGAACACCAAGAGCAAGCGCAACAGAGAGGAGCACGGAGAGCGTGTGGGTCTTTCCTGTGCCAGGCGGGCCTTGCACGAGCTGCAGCAGAGGAGGAGCCGCACTGAAGAGAGAGGAGGAGGACGACGACAATGACAAGAAGGATGAGGAAAAGGAGAAGGGCGAAATGGGGCCAAGAGGAAAGGACAAGTTGCTGGTAGGAGCAGCGTCAGTGCTGGCTGAGAGGAGGCCTCTAAGGCAAGTGAGGACTGTGGATCGCTGGGGATGGTTAAGACAACGTGACGTGCAGAACTGAGAAACAGCTTGTAGGAGGTGCGGAATGTGCTCGGGGGCGATAGAAAGGGCCGGCATGGACGTGGAGTCACTCTGAGAAGCAGCAGGGGGGAGCACGGAGGGCAGGAAACAGTGGGGAGAAGCGGTGTTGCTGAAGGCTAACTGACATGAAATCACAAGCAATCACACAAGTCAATCCTCGAGGAGTCGCAGAATGTGTAAAGAATTGCATGTATGAAATGCATAGCTGTTTCACCATGTATGCACGCCTTACCTCTCTCTGTTCTCCTCCTCCAATCTTAATTCCCGCCCTTAGGCCACCATTTCCCGGCCTCTGCTCCGATCCCAGCAGTCCCCTAAACATCCTCCGCCTCCACTTGCTCTCCACCTCCTCCTCCACTGTGCCTGCGCCACCCCTTCCTAGCTCCCCCGCCTCAAGCACTGGATCATGCAGAGCACCCCACACACGCTGCGGTGTTGCCAAGCTACCCACCAAGGTCACATACCACGACGCACCACCTGCACACTCCCCCCCGTCCACTGCCCCAACCAGGCCCTGATACTCGGGCGAATCCTCTGGAGTGCATATCCTGGCCCGGAAACAGCGATCGCTGTCTCCATCCTCCCCGGACGAGTTTCTCTCCGCAAGAAGGACAGCAAGGTGATACAGCACCCCCGGGCGGAGCAGTTCAGTGGGGGCAGAGGGGGCTACAGTGGACAGCAGCACCACATCTGTGGGCTTCAGCCTCAGCCTTGCTGCACCTCCCCACTGCAGCCTCGCTGGTGCCCCAGCGGCCCCTGCAGACTGCTGCTGCTGCACTTCAAAGCGCACGTAGCAGAATCTCTCCGTTTCAGAGCACGCAGCCGTCGAGTGTGCCTCCCCTGCGGCGCCTCCCAGCTGGCCTCTGCCCCAACCAATCGGCTGGCCATGTGGCACCATGCACCACGGTGGTGCGATCTCATCCAACGCACTACCGTGCACTGAACGCCCGTGGACCTCGCCCTGGCAGTAGTCGTCATCACCAGAGTAACTTACAAACTGCCGCTGCCAGTCATCCCTCTCCACCTCGCCGCATCCATCCGCTCTCGTTGCCCGCATATCACCACCCTTCTGCACCGCTTTGACCACGATCCGTGTGGAGGCGGCGGCAGGCAGCTGCTCAAGGCCACACTTGAGCCCCGCACGGCACTCCTCCAGCAGGGGCCAGCGGAAGGCAGACAGGTACGAGAGTAAATCCGGGAAGGTGGTTGGTATGGGCCGTACCTGCAGCACACAGGACAGCTCCAGAAGAGATAATGAAAGGAGAGAGGGGCTTGGGCGTGGTGCGGATGGCAAGGCATGGATCAGGTTCCAGTTAGAGTAGACAACGGTGATAGAACCTGACCGTGGATCAGGTGCTAGAGCGAGCCTGTGGGGAAAGAAAACCAAATTCGCTGCAAAAGCAGTCAGGCTAATCACGTGCCACAGGTGCCAACTGCCACAGGCTACTCACGAATCGCACGTCATTTCTCAATGGAGTCAGCATTCTCGGCGCCTCACCTTCTCTCGGAGCAGCTCGTCGTTCAAGATGTCCTCGATGCTCCACGTCAGCACGAGCTGCTCCAGTTGGCAACCCCGTGTTGGCACCACTACATCCTTCCCTGCCATGTGGTGCTGGTACCCTTGAATTCACGGACGCCCTCTTATCTTGGGAGATGGGTTCTAGATTTCGCTTGCAAGAACTCCACGACTTCGACGGCGAATCCAACAGGTTAAACGGCTTCCAAGTAATGGTGTAATACTGCTCACGAGCCTCGGAGTCTTCGCACAAGTGCGAGCCTCGGAGCTTGGAGCCTCGGAACTTTTGCACAAGTGCGGGCGCGGAAACGAAAGAAACTCTTCGAGTCGTCCTCTCAGAAGTGGCTTTTTCGGCCGCTAAACTCGCACCCAGGGAGGCTGAGCGGCGAGAGGTGACAGTGAGAAAGCCGAGAAAATGCCACAGAACTAGAGGCCAATAGTTTCGCTCATGAGCATGTGAGGTGCAAGCCAATAACTGTTCCCTCTTGGAGTAATCGTGCACGCTTCCGGGGAATCCCCTTGCTCCGTGCATTGCGACTCGACCCTTATTCATGGAACGGAATGCTGGGAACTCGCGGAGACGCGACGGTGAGCGAAGGCGTGAACTAGGAGTGAGGGAACCAGAGGGACGATAACGGAGCATGATGGCATGCCTTCGTCGCGGCCACTGAGGTGGTCCGTAGAACCCTCTGGCTGGGCCAATAATCGAACGGTTTCTGTTGAAAGGCGTCATGCATGAACGGCGCTGCGGGAATTGCCAGGATGACGGACCATATTGCAGCATCTCACGGGGAAAGGAGCCAGTGGGTGGTATTGTACGAAGCTGGCTGGGAAGGCGGAAGAGGTTGCTGGTGCGATTCCGTGATTAGGAGGGTGGTGCGAAGCGAATGGAAAGGGCTGGTGTGGTAGGGAGAAGAATCTGGTCGGAATTCTCATGGTGATCTAGGCGTTGGTTGGGCGTGAAGGTGGCCGCCTTCGACGGCGGGAATGTAGATGATGGATCGACTGATGCGAGCGATTGATCTGCTGATTAGTTACTTGTAACCATAATACAGTGATTTTGACAAGTATTCGTATACATCCTGAGTTTTTTTTTTCCAAGATGAACATTCTTTGTTCGAGCAGCAGGACCATAACCAAAGCACTGCAGGTATTTTTAGCCACGTAGTCATTAGGAACTCGCCTTTACAAAAACATATCAGCTATTGAAAACGTGGTAGGTAGGTACACTAGCAATTTATACAGGATGGTAAAGTAAATATGAACAATATGCTTTTGAGCGCAATTCCTATCATATTATATAACCATGTTACTGTCAAATGTTGTAGTCTTAGTGATGTGTGTTATAGAGGGTACAACTGTTAGGGTTAGGTTTATGTACCCCAACCAACCTTAGTGAAACCAACACTTTCATTCTTGACATAGTATCACCTAGGTTAGGATCCTGTAGGATCCCGTTCCTCTCGTTCACGTCCGTAGCGCCCGAGCCTGTCCCGTACCCTACTGCGTGTTACGCCCGTACTATCCCCTAGCGCCTCTCGCGCTCGTCTCTCTCGTGCCCTAGCGCCCACTGCGCCTGCGTCGCGTCGCCCCTGCTGTCCCGTCCCGTCCCGTCCCGTCGCCCCTGCTGTCCTGTCCCGTCGCCCCTGCTGTCCCGTCCCGTCCCGTTGCCTCTGCTGTCCCGTCGCCCCTGCTGTCCCGTCCCGTCGCCCCTACCGTCGTGTCGCCCCTGTTGTCCCGTCCCGTCCCATCGCCCCTGCTGTCCCGTTGCCCCTGCTGTCCCGTCCCGTCGCCCCTGCCGTCGCGTCGCCCCTGCTGTCCCGTCCCGTGCCGTCGTCCCTGCTGTCCCGTCGCGTCGCCCCCTGCTGTCCCGTCCCGTCCCGTCGTCCCTGCTGTCCCGTCCCGTCCCGTCCCGTCCCGTCCCGTCGTCCCTGTTGTCCCATCGCGTCGCCCCCCTTCTGTCCCGCCGCGTCGCGCCGTCCGTCCCGTCCGCGTCGCGCTTCCCGTCCTGTCCCGTCGCACGCGCCCCGTGCGCCCTGCCCGTCCGTCGCGCCCCGTGCGCCCTGCCCGTCCGTCGCGCCCCGTGCGCCTTGCCCGTCCGTCGCGCCCTCGCTGCGCCCTGCCCGTCCGTCGCGCCCCGTGCGCCCTGCCCGTCCGCGCCTGTCGCGCCCGTCCCTGCCAGTCGCGTCCGTCCCGTCGTGTCGCACTGTCTGTCACGCCCTACGCAGGCGCTTTAGGCGTTGAGGGTTTCGGCAGCAGCAGTATCCACCTCTACGCTTCCGCTATGGCGACCCCTAGGGTCCTGCGCTTTAACGCTGAGGGTAGGCCGCTCGAGTTCTCAGTCTGGCTCCTGCGTGCATGCCGCCTCCTAGAGAGCCAGGTTCAGGCACACGAGACTCTGTAAGCGCACGCTTCCGGTGACCTACCTGAACCAGCTGACCCTGCACCCTTAGCAGCTGACCCCACACCTGCAGACAGTGACCGTTATGCACGCAAGCGCGCTGACGTGACAGCGTGGAAGTCGCGTGATGCTGCGGCCAGCATCGCCCTCAGCAGCCTCCTCCCTAAGTCTGAGGAGACCCACTTCACTCAGGTTCGCACGGCTAGTCAGTTCCTGACTGCGATGAAGGCCCGCTACGCTACTCCCACCACTGTCTCTCTTGGTCGCCTGTTCCTTCCGTTCCTGTTTCCTGACCTCGCCTCGTTTGAGCGCACTGCTGTCTTGATCACTCATCTGCGCTCGCTCGATTCTAGCTACCGCACAGCTTGCACTAACGCACAGCTTGCACTGCTCCCTCCCCCCATGGCGATTACTATCTATTTCATCGCCACTAGCCTCCCTGACCGCCTTGCCTCGGTTCGTGACGCGCTTCTTCTGAAGCACCCTAGCGAGCTCACTATCGAGGTCCTTGAGTCAGCCCTCAATGACGTCGAGAGCAACCTCCGCTCGGTAGCCTCTGCCTCTGGTGTTGTGCCCCCTCCACTGTTCCACGGGTGCACTGTCCCTCAGCTGCCCACATTTATTGCCTCCCTCGCCACTGCCGCTACTGACGTGACCGCAGCTGCTGTTACGACTTCTTCGCGGTCTCGGGGTAGGAGTGACAGGAGGGGCGGTCAGGGTGCAGTCGGAGGCGGCGGAGGCGGTGGGGGTGACGTGGCGAGTGGCGGCGGCGGGAGTGCATGCGCTGGAGGAGCGCCTCGTGCGCCGGTGACTCCCCTGCTGCAGCTGGTGGAGGTGACGCCCGGGTTCGTCAGCCACCTACTGGTCTGCCAGCCGCAGGGGGTGGAGCAGCGGCGTGGTACCTGAATCGATGACAGCAGCAGCCCCTCCCCTCGCAGCAGCCACAGCAGCAGCAGGTTTCGGGGCAGGGGTCAGGACAGCGTCAGCTGCAGCGTGGTGTCGTCCACCCTCCCTGCACCTATCACGTTCTGACAGGTGCCCGCTGCAGCCAGCCTTGTGGCCGCAGCCACCCACCGGGTCAGTGCTTTGCTCAGCTTACTGACACAGTTCGATTGGCCTACGACGTTGACGGCCCTGCCTCTGACTGGCTTCCCCTTGTTCAGACGTACGGCCCCGCTCTGTGGGGCATGTTGGCTTCTCGGTTGATCTCTTCGGAACTCCTCATGCTATGTATGCTGTTGTTGACTCTAGTGCTTCTGACTCTGTTTACTCGAGTGTTGTTAGCTTAGGTGCTAGTCTTGCTGAGGTGCCTCTTGCTAGTGTAGGTACTTGTGTAGACACTAGTCCAAGAGCTGGTCCGGAGGACGCTTCGCTATCTTTCACTCTGGACTCCGGAGCTTCCCACTGTTTCTTCCGCGACTGCACGACACTTACCCCGCTTCCTACGCCGGTCTCTGTAGCACTGGATGATCCCACTTCGGGACCAGTCACTACTCGCTACACTAATACGCTTCCGTGCCCGGCTGTTCCCTCCGGTTCTCTGACCGGCTTCCACGTCCCCTCGTTCTCGAGGAACTTGGTGGGCATGAGGCCGCTCGTGAGTCAGCACGTGGGTGTGTGGATTGAGCCTTCTGGCGAGACTGCGGTTTGTGTCGTCGGGGACACGTACGCGCCTCTCGGCCCCTTTACCGCTGTGCCGGGCTCTGGTCTCTACACACTTCACACTCGCCCCCGAGGGCAGCAGCAGCAGCAGCAGCAGCGGCAGCAGCAGCAGCAGCAGCAGCACCAGCAGCACCAGCAGCGCGGCAGCAGCAGCGGCAACAACAGCTACTGCCCCCGACCCCTGTCACTGTCCCCCGTCAGGTACCCGCGTCTCACCAGGTTGCCGCGTCTCCCCAGGTAGCTGTGTCTGGTCAGATTCCAGTGTCTGGTCCCATTGCTACGTCGTGCTCTTGCCGGTCGCTTGCCCACCCCACTATTTTGTGGCACCACCGGATGGGGCACCCGTCCATTTCTCGCATGCGCGCTATGTCTAGTCAGCGTCTTGTCTTAGGCCTCCCGCGTGTCTTGCCGTCGTTGACGCCTTCACTTGCGCCACCCTGCGGTCCCTGCGTCGAGGGTCGGCTGCGCGCCACCCCTCACTCCTCCTCCTTTCGTCCGACCACCGAGCCCTTCGAGACTCTCCACTTGGACGTCTGGGGCCCCGCGTCGCGCCCTGGCCTTGAGCGAGAGAGTTTCTATCTCGTGGTCGTTGACGACTACTCCCGCTACACCACAGTGTTCCCCCTGGTAAAGAAGTCCGACGTGAATTCTACGCTGATCTGGCAGTTGCTTACCACTGCGGACACTCGTGGTCGTCGTGTCAGTTGTCTTCACTCCGACCGCGGGGGTGAGTTTCGCTCTGGCATTCTCGCTGGATTCTGTCGCAAGCAGGGCATTCGTCAGTCCTGGACGCTTCCAGAGTCCCCACAGCAGAATGGGGTTGCTGAGCGCCGCATAGGCTTGGTCATGGAGATCAACCGCACCCATGACTCACGCCTGTGCCCCCCATTTTCTGTGGCCCTACGCGGTTCGGTACGCTGCTCACCAGCTGAACCTTTGGCCACATGTCTCTCGGCCAGAGGTTTCACCGACCAGTCTTTGGACCGGGTCCCCTGGTGCTGCGTCGTGTTTTCGTGTCTGGGGTTGC